CTTAACCACTGATTTCTAGTTGTGTCCTCTTTTGGAAGACCAAACAAATTAGTTTCGCTTTCACAATGAAACAGAGCATCACACACGGAGGCCTAGAGTGAGCGGAGGCCGGCTAGAGTGAGCGGCGGCCGGTGGATTCGACAAAGGAGCGGCCTGCGGGCTTGCGGCAACCACATGTGACGACCCCGGGCTTTATGCACCAAGAGCTTGTAACACTCCAAAGAGAAAGGAAAAATTGAAATCGCATCATATGACCCCTTTAAGATGAATCACATATACCACAAAAATATGAGATCAATCCATTATTTTAAATCTACTGGCAATCCTACAATTACATTAAAAACAGTAGCAACAACAACAGAAATTCTATTTTACAAATGAGTGTGACAGGCAAGTATAAGTAAAATGGGAATAAAGGTTATTGAATATACAGTGAAACTTGTGTTCGAATTGGCAGTATTTGCTGTTTCCATTTCAAGAGGACACGCACACTTGCCTCAGTGCTTCTCTCCATACGCTTCATGACTTTAGTCCAGCTTAAACTTAAAAGAACTAGGCTGTTGGAAGAGGAACCCTTTACAGGCTCAAGCGCTCTCTCAACCAGTGCAGATCTGAATACTGAGTCTCTTTGTTTTGTTCACACTGGAATGCACAACTACCGGCCTAACTACATTACTGAGCTGCCACGAAGAGCTACAGGCCCAAACGACATTATGAAATAGAGCCTGAGAGGGAAGGGGGGCTCTAAAAGAAAAGTGGGCTTTTGGTAAACAGGTGGTCCTCACATTCTGACCAATAATTTTTTTTTATTTGATAAAATTTGATTCAAATCTGCCTTAAATTGTAACAATAAAGCTAGTATCTATTATGCAAATGGTCCTGGTGGGATAAGTGCTCTTCTTTTTTTTTTTTTTAGTACAAAGCCTAATGTGATCAGCACAGCAGGAAGCTGATACAAACTGTTGTCAATGTGCTATTATTAGCCACAGCCAAATGTGATCTTGTATGTGAAGGGTGTTTACTTGAGAAACTAGCTAGTGTTTGTGTGTCTGCCTTCAAGATAATAAAACTAAAAATAGTGTCTTTTTTAGATATATATTCCTCATCCATTTGACAGAATTTATTACACATCACAATATTTATGCGTTTTCTCCAAAATGGTTTAAAAGGGTGATTTTTTTCCCTCCTGACGAATCATTCAATCCATTGCATTGCTGCCAAGCAGATGTTTAAATGTAAAAATTTTAATTAACACAAGACCAAGACGGACAAGTCTATCGACACACTACATAATTGCCAACCAAAAGTGCTTTATAACCATCATGATATTTACAATCTAACTGATACTATTAAGCCCACGTTTGTGTGTGTCTGTTTACCATAGGACTGCCAGGGGTCTGAGGCGGGGCCTGCTGCTGCAGCTCCTACTCCTGCTCCCCAAGGGTCCGATGTTTGATCGGCAGGGCCCTTGGGAACCGTGTCCATCAAATCCATCAGAGAAGACTGTGGAGGCTACACACACACAACATATGAGATTAGCGCCCACAAATATATCTCACTATCCAAAGCAATCACATCAGCTTTAGTGAATAAGAACTTGGAAGCTGATCTGAACATAAATACTCACATTATGAGTAAACAAGTCCGCAAGCAAAGAAAGGAAAAAAGTACATTGAAGAGATTAATGAAATGGCTTTAGTAGTGACATTATTTAGCTTATAGTAGTATAAACACAAAAACTGGTAGTATAGTTTAGGATTACACAGTAATCAGAATTTAGGTAACTGAACATTTTCAGGTAATATACATTGGGAAAGTTGACATACTGTGGAGTGACAGCTTATACCCCATCTAAAAACATTTTTAAAAGAATTGCCAATTTGGAATTGCTTTTATGAGCTAATTAATTGAGACTACATGGAATATTTGAACTTAATATATTTGTCACACCATATGACCATCTAATAAAAACTAATGGCAAAAAATAAAGGCAAAAAGGTGACAATTTCACAGCCCCTAAAAATACACTACTGTTAAAATATATGGGCTCAGTAATACTCTTTTATAGAAATGAATACTTTTATTCAACAAGGAAGTATTAATCAAATGAATTTGATCAAATGTGATAGTAAAAACATTCTTAAGGTTACAAAAGTTTTGTATTTCAAATAAATGCGGTTTTAAACTTTTTATTCAAGTGTATCAAAGTTTCCACAAAAATATTAAGCAGCACAACTGTTTTCAACATTGATAATAATATTAAATATGTCTTAAGCATCGAATCATCATATCAGAATGATTTCTGAAGGATCATGTGACACTGAAGACTGGACTTATGGCTAATGAATGTTCAGCTTTGCATCAGAGGAATAAATTACATTTTAAAATATATTTAGATAGGAAACATTACATTTTAATAATTTAATGTACATACACATAAATTGTAATATCTCACAATATTACTGTATTTTTGATCAAATAAATTGAGCATAAGAGATAAAAATCTTATTGACCCCAAACTTTTGAGCAGTGGTGTATTTACATATTCATACATTTTAAACTCAAAATTTTAAAGTCAAAATATTGACTGAAAAACCAAGTCTGCTCTACTTCTGTACAAAAGAGAGTTCTTCTCTACTCATGTTAGCTAGCATCATTAAATTAGCCATTTGTCTTTTGAAGATTTCAATATGATGCATAATATGTACAGTAACAGTTCCTATACTGTACTTTCACAGGGTTGTGAAGCTTGACAGCCCCCGATCACTATATGCTTTTGATATTTGAAATAGCGTAGAATGAACATTCAGGTAAAATGTCTTTGTTCTACAGAAGAACGAATATCATACATGTTTGGAATGACATACGGATGATCAAATTATGACCATTTTCATTTCTGGGTGAACTGTCCCTTTAAAAATCCTTAAACTAGTAACAAAACATACTTACAGTCGCTGATTCAGCAAAGTCAGAATTAGCTCCTCTCCTAGGTTCATGAAACGGTTGTCCATAAAATGCATTGCTGTTCTGTTGTAAGTAATCTTAAAGATTCCTAAATGCATCTACTTTCAGAAGGCCAAATAAAGTGCTTTTGCTTTCGCCTAGAAACACACAGCGTCTCTCTGACATGGCTGCTTCAACACTAACTGCGGTTACTGAAACCACGCCTTCTTTCTTTGCGTGCACATTTGGGTGCATTATGCAAATATTCCCACATAGTGACCTAGATATGTGGGGGCGTGTTAGAACGAGCCGTTTTAGGGGGGTGTGGCAGAGTCTTAACTTTGATAAAGAATATCTCTTTGGTTTTGAGACTTTAGTCTTTGCAACTTCAGGGATCTTATCTATTCACGAACAGCTTGTAACACTCCAAAGAGAAAGGAAAACTTGAAATCGCATCATATGACCCCTTTAATAAATGAACATGCAGGAGGTAAGGTATGTGTAAACCTTCTGCAGAGTTTTGTGTGGCCACAGATTCAGTTCAGGCCTGCTGATGATGAGTTGAAGCGCTCAGAGGCTGCACCTACCTCTTTCTTCTTCTTGGCTATTTTCCCTGTGTTGGAGTCTTTGCGGCTTTCATCCAGAGCCATCTGGAGCCGTAGGTCATCCCCACGACGCATCCTCTCCTCCTGAACAACCACACACAGACACAAAAGAATTCATGTTATATCACACACATTATGGAGTACGTGCTGTCTGCTGAATCACAGCGTGAACCTGCCGCCCTGCGTCCTATGACGATACAGCCCTGTTGTTGTGATTCACAATGATTCAGCATCAAAATTCAGTTACTGAGGCATGTAAAAAATCTGCAGATTACACAATTATACATTGGAGCCAAGACTCAGAATTGTGTTAGCAAACCAAGAGACACACCCGACACTTTGTTTCCTCAACGGGTCTATTTCAAAAGGCAGAGTAGATAGGAAGGAAGCTAGCTAGAAATGTAAAATATGTCAGTGGGAAGCAACCGAGGATAGGCTGTAATCTAGTCCCTATGTTAATTCGGTGGCAGTAAGTAACTTTGTATTTGGTTAGCCATATTCACAACAATTAAAGCGAGAACAGAGATCAGCTGTAGGGTTCGACTTACAAATCAACACTCTTGAGCAATTATTTTTATAAAATGTTGTTTCAATAAACACTCCAAGTGAAAATCTTCCAAAACTGGAAATTATCAGCAATCAAACATGGGTTAAATGAGGCTGTAGTGCAAGCAAAGCCCCTATAAAGAAAGCCATTTCACTTAATCAGTGAACATTTCTAATGTTGCTACATGCAGGACATTTTAGTGTAGGGCTGAAACATGAAAGATTTATGCAAGAGGCAAAGAGGACAGAGAAAGCAGAAAAAGCTGAGATGAGTGATGCTCTTTCACCGTTTCACCATAAGCCTCATTATATCAACGGTTAGAATGCTACGGTTCCCATAACCTCATAATGATCACAAATCTGGGACATCTGACTGTCTCATACAATTATGTCCATTTTTTTAATGACCCCTAGTTTACATCAAGCTCTGACAGGGAAGGAGCTCACAGAATGAATCATAATCCCTATGATAGACACCTGACAGCTATACACTGAGAGGCAGGTTTAAGAGGGCCAATAGCGATACACAGAAATGTAGTAAGTCCCTACTATGCACCTCCCTTTCAGACAAGCCCCTCCTCAACAGCACTAACATGCCAGCTTTTTTCATTTGTAAATTCATCCCAGATGTCCAAGCGCACACACAGTTCCTTCTAGTGGTTCAACGGATCACAAATCTCACGGTTCGGATCATATTACTGTTTTTGAGCCACGGATCGGATTGTTTTTTCGGATCACTTCAGCAAGAAAAAAAAATCTATGTAACTTGGCTTTCCATAAGTACGATACCACAGCAAAAACTCTTAGCCTAAGAAAGTTCAAACATTATTAAAGAGACAAGTGAACAGCCAGTAAAAATAAGAACAAATAGGCTACACAAATTACAAGCATAGATAAATGCAACAGAACAATGCTACAAATAAGGTCGGAAGTATTCAGATTCAGAAATGTAATAATTAAGTGTAAAATAAAACTGCATAGTGTTCACTGTAAATACATAGTGTTCAAAAACGTGTTTTGTGGTTTGATGAGCATAATGACAGCAGCAGGTATTATTAGGCTGCTGCCCCTTTAAGACCTGATGCACGGATCCAATATAGCCTAATGATACACATCCGATTTCTTTCTCAGCTGTTCTCGTTCACTTAAGACACAACAGACTTCATTTGCCACAATGATTGTCGAGATTGGTATTTTGTCATAATTTTGTGTATATGCGCGTCTGTTCAAAGGCAATATAGTTCAAAGTGAATAAGATAGGAAAGATGGTTCAGTTCGGTGTTCGTGCGCAGTCAAACGCGCCTCTCTGCGTGTGCGAGCTAAATGTTTGTGCGGCTGTGGAAAAAAACATCACGCGAGTTACGAATCGAGTTCCATTTCGCCCTTTTCTTTCGCTAGAATGGTTTAAAATCGCTTGCATGTGTAAACACCTACAATTGATAAACTTTCACTCTATTATGGTTAAATTTTGCAATTAATCCGCGGATCACATGCGTGCCCAACCGTGGGGCTTGGTCCGTACGGATCAACTACGATCCGTTTAACCACTAGTTCCTTCACATTGTTCTTAGAGCAGCGAGCCCCAAACATATTCAGAGACTTCAGGAACATTATATTTCCTACTGTATCAGCTGCCCCACTTCATCACTTTTATAAAACATTTAAGATTCGGTTTTAAATCCCACCGAGACAGTTGTGTGGTTGTATGGCTTCCACACTAATTTGTAAGCTTCCCAAACAATGTCCTGTTGCTGGGTCTGGCCCCATGTTGCAAAAAAAGGACAACTAGTTATATCTGTGCAACATGTAATTGGAAAGAAAACGAGCCAGCAGAAGGATATTTCCCATTTCTTGATTCCATGCCAATTTGAAATATAAGTACAGTGAAAGTGTCTTTCATGTGATGCAAATAGCCCTCAGCTTGCAATTAGAAATGAAACATTTTCCTAGAAACAGAGTAACCGTATCACCATTGACTAATTATACAGTGACCCGGTTAGTATGTGTAAAAGATGCCCGAGAGGCACACAGTAAGGTAAATCTGCATCTGGTAAGTCCACATACAAATGTGTTCATTCCTGAATCAGCTGTTCAAAGCTGTAACTATAAATAAATAAATCTAATTTTAGGCACCTTACTCTAACAATTTCCATTCCTGTGTCAGAAATATTTTTCCACATTTTATGTAGTAAATGAATATTTGATTATATTCACTGTGGCTAAATCTTTGCTAATAGGGAACCATTAGAGCAAGTCATTCTCTGAAATTGCTTGCTGATTGTCTGGGTGGTGGAACAATCCGGTTTTAACTATGGAGTGATGTTCATGCATATTAGGGCAAAGTAAAAACAAGGAGAGAAAACAACCAGGATTAATAACTGAAATAAGTCAGCAAAACCAGTCAATCAGACACAGCAAATGGAACCGTATGGCTGTGATTTGGCTAAAATAAAATCACAAGCCAACAAGTGCAGAGATGATGCACTGTTTTATATTAAAATCTTCTCCAAATATTAAGACTTGGAAAAACTGATGGCATGAATAGGCCTCACACCATGATGTATGTTTGTAGGCCAAAACTTGGAAATTAATTAGCATTTTAGCACTTCTGGTTACATCACCCAAAAGTCAGTGGGTTACTTGAATGGGTTTTTGGTTAAATGCTTGAAATAAGTTCTGTGGTTAACATAAGCTCAAGATATTTTCATGTTTTCTTTTACAGTATACTATACACAAGTACTACCTCTGGTGATTCTTTTGAATCTTTCATATGTCTTGAAAAAGGCTGTTGCAAACGAGTGGCTAAATAGGTCTACAGAAATCGTCAGGGACAATAAATGTAATCTCGTCAAACAGGCAAACTCATATATTAGTGTTGGGCGATATGGTCACTTTTCAAATCGTCATATCGCCAGCCCGTGAGATCGCCAATACACGATATTATCGTGCTTGTGTGCATGGGTGGGGGCAAGAGAGAGACTGTACTTATCATAGGCTATTTCATAACTATGTGGTGTTTTAAACCACACACGCATTTTGACAATTTTTGTGTGAATATGTCCATTCAAACACAATACTTCACAGAGAGCTTAATATTTGCGCGCGTTCTGAGACGCGGGTTCATGCGCTTCGGATGAGCGACCACACAGATCTTCTCACTGCGCACGCGAGTTCACGTCTTCTGGCTCTTTAATATTTAAACTGGCAAGGCTTAAATGAGTTTAGTTTAAACACAGATAGCAACGTGTGCTGTTCAGGTCTCACCTGCGCTATCAACACGTGATGACGGCATAAATGACAGTTATTCCAGCATAAAGCACTCGCATTGCTTAAAGAGGGACTGGTTTGTCCACATATTGTTTTTTTTCGCTCTCATTGATCTTGTTGTAATGTATTGGGAAGCCAGAATTTGTATCCATCAACAGAAACATGCATTAGCCGAACTCTAACAAACCATATTACAGATGCATTGTCAGATTTAAGTTGTGTGTGCATCACTTGCATTTTTTCAACATTTATTTTTATGTTTAAACAAATATGTAAAACATTAATCTTATAAAATTATTTATGCATTTGAAATTTTGCAGTGTAAATGCATTTATGGCACCTCGGCTTCATCAAAAAGTCTGTGTAAATGCATCTAATGCCACTTCAGATGCAGCTTCTGTTTCCTCAGCAGTGGAAAGATAGAGTTTGTTAATACTAATTCCATTTGAATGGTAACAACTCTACAGTTTCTTATTATTCTAACTGAATTAATTGAAACAAAGTAAGAATTTGATGTGAAAGATGACACATTTAATAAGGTTAGGGGAAAACAGTGACCATTTATAAACATAGTGGGAAATGACATCTGTTTTGTTACATACAGCAACTCATTTTAAGTTAACTATTTCTTTCTCTTTCCAGTCACAGAGCACTTTATTTTGAGAGTTGTTTAAGTGAGAGAAAATCTGTAACTTAGTCCAGATTGGGGGAATTGTAATGTTTAATAATTTGTTTTATGTAAATAATTTTTTTAATTTGCATTGAAATTTGCATAGATTTTTGTTTGTATATGCTGTCAATTATAGTTTTTAGAAAGAAAATCGGAATCAGCAAAAATCAGTATCGGCAGGTCACACCTCCAAAAAATCAGAAATCGGAATCGGCCAAGAAAATTGCAATCGGTGCATCTCTAGTTGGAAAGATCACACGTGACGTGAATGTATACGTGAAATGTATTTCGCTGGGAAAAAAACATGGCCTTTCCAACATGATTACGTAATGTGTGAAGTCATGAATACACATTGCAGAGCTAGTTCAACAGGAGCATTTGTGGTTAAAGTGCATACAATTTTTTTTTTTTTAGAAAATGACCAATCGTTTCACTAGATAAGACCCTTGTGACTCTGGGATCATGTAGAGCCCTTTGAAGCTGCATTTAAACCACAATTTGGACCTTCAACCCCTTGGTCCCTGTTGAAGTCCACTTTATGGAGAAAAATCCTGGAATGTTTTCCTCAAAAACCTTAATTTCTTTTCGACTGAAGAAAGAAAACCAAGAACATCTTGGATGACATGGGGGTGAGTAAATTATCAGGAAATTTTAATTCTGGAGTGAGCTGATCCTTTAATGTACATCTGTGCTTCTAGGTAGCCCTGCCCAACATTAGAATTCATTGATCCAAAATCCTTCTCATAAACGTACATTAAGCATCACAATAATAAATCATATAATTAGCTGTAGATGTGTCAGCATTTTAGGGTGGCATTGAGTGACATGATGTACCTGCTCGGCGGCCTCTCGGCTCATGGCAAGAGCCAGTTGCAACTGTAGCTCCTCTTCTCCACTCGTCTGAGGTCTGGCTTGCTCCAACTCTGAAGATGCATTGGGAGATGTGGCTAAAAACAAACAAAACACGCATACGATGACATTATCATTCAAGCACTGCACTGCTACCACACCCGGCTGGGTTATCTTAAGTCAGGGCACGGGTGAGCCAACCAGCACACATTAAAATGACTGTTGAGCGGGTTTTATCAGTTATTCATACTCCACGACACAAGAACAACGCAAAATGTTCTTGCTATGGCTCTTATCAGTCATTTTACATTTGTCACCAAATGACTAAGTTGTTGTTTAAAAAGGCAAAAGTGAATACTGAATGAACATTCATGAACTCTCATGTTGCACGTGCCAGGCCAGAATGAAGCAGCCAAACTGGGTAAATCACAACGGCCTACTGATTATAAGCTTGTTGCTAAACCAGCGGACAAGAGTACTTCAATACTGATTGGATTAGGCCAAGCCATGCATTTAGAAAACACAAGTATCGCTAGCCATTTCGGAGCACATGGATCAGTCGCAGGCCATTGAGAGCCAAAACACCTTAGAAAGTACAGGTCACAAGGCCAGAATTAACACTACGCTCAAAACAACCACAACTGCTCAAACTATAAGCACATGACACACGCGACAAAAAGAGCTGCACGTTTGTGTTAAGGCTCTGATGTTTTACGTCACCATCATTAGTCTAGGCATTTTTGTTGAAAGCAGCATCAATCAATAAACTGCTCGTCTGTAATCCATAAGATCTCTGAGAGCCATTAGGCCTAGTCTTGATGTATCGCTTCAGTAACGATCAGAAACACTGGACCTGGAGAATCTCAGTGCCTTTTGAAACACAAGCTTCCCGGTTTCTAAACCCTGAGGGACTAGAAATTACGAACAAAGGGCTTGAGTCAATGGGAAAAGCAGTAGAGGCGAACAGGGGAAATTAGGTAGCGTGGGCGTGGAGCTTCGGTGAGATCACAGATGACATCACAAGTGCTTCCAGTCTGCACCACGCCACCCTTACTGGGCTAAAATGGAAATATGACTCATATACCAACTGCATGGTTCAAAGTCAATTTCTCAGAATCATAATTTAAATAGCAAGGTTGATTTTTCATTCATAGTTACTGAGAGACATTTTTTATTATTGGCATAAAGAGTACTCTACTTTTTTATTTTTTTTTTAGCTTATTTTGGCCAATAACCACAAATACAGACAGTAAGAGACTGGCTGACATGCAAAGCAACCAATCTGATTAGAGTCAGCCAGATGAAAACGTGCCTTCCACGTTTGTATGCAAGCAGACAGTCAGTGAACGGACTGTCTCAATAAATAGTCTCAGCCGGCACAACCAATGGACTTCTTATCCATCATTGTGGGGCTGAGACCAAGACTATTTTATTAATAAATCTGGAACTGTTCATCAAATATGCTGACATTGAGGCTACACACAAGCAAAGTGCAACCACTATCGTTTGATTTGTTGTTTTGTTTTATTTTGTTTTTTTATTGCCATACCAGCATATGGCTATTTTCGTTACTGTCTGAAACAAAGCTGGGTGTTTAACTAATAGTTAAGTGTTTAACTACGTAGTCCAATAATTATATCAGTCATATCTGAAATATATGTATCTATATTCAGCAAAAAAGCACCAATGTTTTTGCAGTTTGGCTGCATTATGTTGGTTGGCATAAAGGTAGGGATGCTCCGATTGATCGGCTACCAATCACTATCGGCCGATAATCACGTTGGGATGATCGATCGGCGGTCTCTAAAAGGCCGATCTCAAAAAACTGATCTCAAGCTGATGATGCTGCTGTGAGAGGTTTGGCACGACATGCAGCGGCACCGTCTCAGTCTCTGTCCGGCACGGGTAAAATAATTATATATATAATTATATAATATAATATAATTATATAATAATTATATAATATAAATATTATATAATAATTACTCACGTTCATATTTCTTCATTAAATAACTTATAAAGTAATTTGAAAACCTTGTGTGAGACGTAATTTCACAAACAGCGTGAGTGAATCACCACGTGCGTGCATTCTCTCTCTCTCGCGCTCTCAAAATACGCAAATGGCTTCAAATCACCACACAGAGCGTCTGTCTATAAGCGAGCTACACGCTGCACAGTTGACACAGGAATTGTCACTTGCACAATCGAGGCAGTGTCACATCGTCACTAAAGTTGATAAATTGCATTTCTTTTTAATTCTTGCCAGTGTTTAACCATTCAGCGGTCGTGCGCTCTCCTGAAGACCGTGCGCTCATGCATACTAGCAGCAGACACACATAATGCCAGGTTCACATTACTCCGTTTGCAGTGCATACGTGGTGCGTATTTTTTCCGCGCTCATGTTAACGGAATAGATGGCACTCGTGGAGGTAGGAAAACAAAGTTCTTTATGAACTGCAGGATTGCTTGTAATAAAGATTTCAATTCAAAAGAAAAGGCAGTAGAGCTGTCTATTACGGTCAATGGTAAGTTTGTGATAATGTAAGAAAAGTAGTTTAAATGTTTTGCCAATTGCTTGAGCAACTTAATATATAAATCTAGAAGTAAATGCAAAAGTAAAAAGCATTGAATAATGTGTTGCTTATATTTATTGTGCTTAAACATGTCTGTGAAAGATTGTATTACTGTACTGTGTAAAAAAATTATTGCAACTCTGAAAAAGCATTTTCAGTGACAATGTTTGGATTTGAAATCAAAATAATGGATAAATGTTGTGTTTGTGGTAAACAGTCACGGATCAGTAGCGGACTCCTGTGTGAAAGCTGCTTCTCCTCTCACAACAGTCACCTAAGAGGGGAATTCCCCCCATTTTCAAAAATGAAATTCAGGCCCTGAATAAATGTCTAAAAATCCTGATTGGAGTATCACTATAAATAGTTATAAATGATAAAAAGAAGGCTTTAAAAAGATCGGTATCGGTGATCGGTATCGGCAGATACTGCTTTCTGTGATCGGCGATCGGTCTCAAAAATCCTGATCGGAGCACCCCTATATAAAGGCATCCAGAATCTATTTTAAACAAGGTCAAGATCTTTCCCGAGCTATTGGTTTAATTTGCTGTCCTTTGGCCAAGAGGATGTCATTCACTGCTCTGAAAACAAAACTTAGGATCTAAGAAAAATGGTAAACAGCTTGTCATTTCACGGTTATGCAGCTTTAAATACTCTGTCTTGGATATGTGCACCTATGAATGTCTCACACAATTTACCAACACAATGAGCTTTTTATGTGCATGAAACTGATAATGGGGGTGTTTTCAGTTGTAAGCAAAAGCTTAAAACGTCCCGGACACCATAAAATTACAATTTTGATTCAATGAAAAAAGGTGTGCACAAGGGGAAAAATGCTTGTTTTGACATCTGATGATGACTTCATATGAAGAGGTTTCTAATTTAGAAACTAAAAAGGTTTTAGAGGTTTTCCGTCAACTGTTTTATAAGCAGTACAGTCACACTTCAATTCACACGACTACAGAAGTAATACACAGCATGTGAGTTATTTCAAGAACACCTAAAACATTGCTATGTAAAACTGCAAAGGATTTTGTTAATCACTCCAAAAGACACAATAATTGGTGGCAAAATTGTATATTGTGCTTCAAATTGCAAAAAAAAAATAAATCCAAAATACACTGCCAAAATGTTCTTTCTTTGGTTGTCGAGTAAAAACAAATGCATGCAATGACATAGATAAGGGCCTATTATTTTTAGCATATATTTTTATGATTTGGCTGGACAGCCATCACACGTTTAAGCTAATGTTTATTTGACAAGATCTATGTATGTGTGTTGATGCTTATACACAAATAAAATCATACATTTAATCTGCTCATATAAAGTGACAGTCTCTTCAGAAGACTTGGTTTAAACTGCTCAATTCATATGGATTACTTTTACAATGTCCTTTTAGTGCTTTAAGCTTGAAAATATAGTGATTGATTACATAGACATTCAAATGGATTAACAAAAATGAGAGATAATATTATCTTAATTTGTGCTCAGAGGACAAATGAAAGTCTTATAGGTTTGGAACTACATCAGTGTATGTAAATAATGATCATTTTAATTTTTGGTTTAACTATTGCTTTAACTTACATGATCAGTGAAAGACAAACCACAGAATAATCTGTGGTTCTAGATCAGGAAAACTATATGCTAGAAAATCATTATAAATCAAAAGCTTCTATCATACAACACTGAATTAATTTTACAAACCAACAAAACCACATCTTAACGTTTAGCACCCATATTCTAATTTTCTTCAGTCTGATGAAGTGTGAATTACATGTGACTGAGAGCCCATTTACACTTTCTGGAGAAACAATTCCAGGAAACTAGCAGAGGAATGCAAAACACTCCTGTTAACAATTCAGCTTTTCTTCAAACTCTTTTTCCTTTTTGTTAATGACTCAGCCGTTTACTCCCTCTTTCATGTAATGAAGCTCGCCATGCACTTTTTCCATCTTCTCCTTAATCCAACACGTTAATGCATTTGATGACAAAAGACACTAGAAGAAAGTCACAAAAAAAATGTACTTTCAACAGTTAGATTTTGAATTGTGATTAAAAGAAATTGGCTGACTTCTTTCGAGCATATTATCAACTTCTTTTTTTTAATACTGTATAAAAGAGGCAGGGGGTTAGGGCTGCACGATTAATCGAAATTAAATCGCAAACGCGATAAATCGCGATTAGGCAGAAGCTGTGATTGTCATGCGTATCTTTCAGTGTAGCACGGTTCTGTGATCAGCAGTAAATCTCCATCCGAAGGCCAGAGGGCGCTCTCGCGCTGAAACTCCAAATAGGCCTCAGAAGAAACCCAGGAAATCCCTATAGCAGTTGCTGAATAAACAGAAGATTTAACTGCTTTGATTAATTCAACGTGACTAATAAACACACGATTATGACAATATATGGTTTATCCGAGTTCGTCTTATAATTTTTATTATAATAAAGTATATAATAATGCAATGCTAATCGACATAGCCTTTATCACTGCTTAGAATACTATAAAATATGTTGCGTGCCTTATTCTGTGTAAGAAGCCACATCATCTCACAGAAGGATTTATTTCAAACACTCGACTGACGTTATGAAGCGAGTTTGGAGTAAAAACATGTTATTAAATGTTGTATTTTCACATGCTTTCAGATGGAGCAGCATTTACTACACAGAGCCGTAGTTCACTGACAAGCTACGCAAACAGCTTTCATAATCGCAGAACGATTTCTTCAATTTCATAATCGCGTGATTAAATCGTCTGCGATTATGAACGCGATTTTGCGTAGCTTGTCAGTGAACTACGGCTCAGTGTAGTAAATGCTGCTCCATCTGAAAACACGTGCTGGAGATTTACTACTAATCACAGAACTGTCTTTACTGACAAGAAGCGCATGACAATAGCATTCGATTTATCGTGCAGCCCTACGGGGGTAGTAGCAAAAAAGGAGAGACATATGCAGCTTCCTCCCTGAAGTACCGGGCAGAGCAACAGACCTCTGGGAGTTCAGGAATTCGGTCTTCCTGTAACGAGCTGAGGGAAAGGGGTGGGGCGTGAACAGCACGCAGCTGTCCGGGGCAGACGTACAGCCACTGAGTGCTGCAGGGAGGCACAAGAGAGGATGTGTCTCCTGCAGGGTAACAGCAGACAAGCAGTTTCCTGGTCTGCAGCATAAAGAATTTGCACCATGCAGTCTGAGCTCCAGGTGTGCAGAGTTTCTCAAAATGAATTCGACAAAGTTGACTCTTTTACAACCACACCAGCCCAGATTTAGTTGTTGGCATTAACAGCAACATTTCAGAGATAAAGGAAAAAGATCAGCTTGCTACCAACCTTTTATTGTCGGTAAAGGGCTTAATATGGTCCTCAAGAATAATGTAGCCTGTAACATTTAGAAAAGCTTCAGTTCAAGAGCTACAGCGAATGTACCTGCTAACCTACCACACAAAATAAATACCTGACCCTTAAACTAGTCTTAATGGTATAGTACACCAAAAAAATGAAAATTCTGTCATTATGTGATGCTGCTGACGTATAACCCGGATGCGCTGCACCTTTTTCTCAAGCGGAGGAATGCACACGCATGCGTCGTGGTACTGTCTTGAATGTGCATCAAAGACTGACACGGAAGAGAGGAAATTGTTACACACAAAAAGTATTCTCATAGCTTCGTAACATTACAGTTGAACCACTGATGTCACATGGACTACTTTAACGATGTCCTTAGTACGTTTCTGGGCCTTGAACATGGTTAGTTGCGTTGCTGTCTATGGAGGGTCAGAAAGCTCTCAGATTTCATCAAAAATATCTTCATTTGTGTTCCGAAGATGAACAAACATGTTAAGGCTGGAATACACTACACGACTTTTAAAATCTGAACAGATTTTTAAAACACTAGGCATCATACACGTACCGACTTTTTAAGTAGTGACAGAGGAAAACTGGCCATCATACACTAAACGACTGAGGATCACACACTAGCAGACTTTGAAATCATTCCAATCACAACAAACTCACACAGAAACGTGCGCCTTGTTGCTAGGAGATGATTGACAAATGAAAACAATATGCGTTCTAAAATTGGCTGAAAATATCAAACATGTTTTGCCAACAGGGCAAAAATTGTGTAGTGTATTCCAGGCTTTCGATATCGCAAGACTCCTAATCTGGCACTAGATACATGGTGCGTTCAAGTCCTCCAGGGAAAGTTCGTATTTACAAGTTTGGAAGTCACAACGTCAGGTGCATTCAAGCCACTATGGTCAGAGTGCAAAAATTCAGCAAAAATTATTAACTCTTCTTCTATAAAACAATGAATAATGAAAGTGCATTAGGTGTGTTTTTGCTTTTTTATATTTGCATTTAATTTATGAATTTCATTGTAAATGTAATAGTTACATATTCTGTCATGTTTGTACAATACCAGGTACACCCCCAACTTGGAAACTGGGGGTTTAAAGAAAGTTTTGAGTTTTCCACACATAATTATGACGGTGTTCAATGCGTAAATATGATCTTTCCAACATGACTTCATCACACCAAAAGTACCCATCAGCCGATGGCATCATTTTGGGGTCCTACAGGGATTTGATTCAACAAGATGACACTGGGCTCTTGCATGTTTGTTTATTAAATATGTGACCCGTACCACAAAACCAGTCATAAGGGTCCATTTTTTGAAATTGAGATTTATACAACATTGAGTATAGTATGTGTGTAGATTTAAATTTCTGTACAGTCTAATCTCTAATTGTCATACCATTCGAATTTCATACCAAAACTTCAAACCGAACTGGTTGTCTTTAAAATACAAATCCTGTGTAATCCCAGACTATCTGAAATCAGAAGCACATTTAAAACTGGAATATAATTTATTTTCATATAATCCTTTCTGGATTACAATCCGCCCTCAAAATGATTTTTTGACATTTAATTATTCTAGCTGCTGTGAGAAAAGGCTAATGATCTGCCACCTGCAGGATCCTCACATGCAATAGCCTAGTAGCCGGGACAACTTCTTTATGTTTACAGAAGTGACGAAATGACGCAGCAGCATGCTCAAATTTCCCACGAAACCACTCAAATTAGAAAACATTATTATAAGATAACCGTTGTGAATCGCGCTAAAGTAAGGCGATAGTTTTGAACACTGGCTGGTTATGTACTTGCTCAAATATTGATTTTGGATTATTTTTAACCTGACTGCAGCTTTAATATACTAATGATTTTTGGCATAAAAGAAAAATGTATCATTTTGACCCATACAATGTATTTTTGGCTATTGCTACAAATATACCCGTGCTACTTATGACTGGTTTTGTGCTCCAGGGTCACATATTTCAGCTAATCTAATTTGGCTTGCAAGTTAACAAGCTAAAGAAACTTACATCCATGATATGATGCAGGTGAGCCCTCAGACTTGCCATACTCCTCTGAGTAGCTGGTGGAGAGGTTGGGCTGGCTAGAGCCACGGCCGAAGCTGATCTGATTGTTGCTGCCCACACTGGTGGCCACCTGTGCCATGCGCTCCTTAGTCTTCAGGGCCTGAGAGCGTTCACCCTTCAGACGGTCGTCATCCTTCAGCAGCACAACCAGCTGCTTCGACTTCTCTCTGACGTTGATGCCCTGGTCTTTGCCATCCCGATCGATATACTGGAAATCTTTGAGCGTCTGTATGGCAAAGATGTTCTCTTTGCACTGCAGGGCCACTCGCTCGGAGCCCGTTTTGATCAGGTAGTCCAGCAGCGTCAGGGCCTTGTACACATGCCGCCAGTTCTTTCCGTGGTCATTCAGCCTCTTCCAAATCATGGTCATTATCTCCGAAAAGGCCACCACATTGTAAGTGAGGTCGGCAATCTCTGACATCAGAGAACTGGAGGGGCCCCATGGGTCATTGGAAGTCGCTTCCCTGACCTTCTTCTCCGGCTCTGAATAGTTATTTACCACATTTTTCATCTGTCTCCGAATAGTTGAGCTTGGCATGGTGGCGTGTAGTGTTAAAATCCTTGAGAATTGAAAATAAAAAACTCAGTTTTGCTTAAAAAAAAAAAAAAAAAAAGAGAAGTCTGTTGTGTAATAGTTCGAACACACGTTCTCCGTTTGAACAGTTTCTGTGTCACTCTGTGCCTGTTAAAACCATTTCCACAGAGTGAAGGAAGCCAGCTCGATGAATTCCTCCATTACCTGAAACACAAAACCAAAATGTCAGACAGAAACGGAAAAGGTTCAAACCAGAACCTAGTAATAGTTGAACAATTAGACTGCATAAAATCTAGTGCACACAAAAACAGTAAAAGCAATTATCATGTTCGTTTTTCTTTCCACAAACATTACACAAAAAGAAAGTGATCATGTTGATTACCATGGTGAATTGCACAATGTGCATACAGAACTTTAATGGTCCATTACCAAACTACACTTGCAGCTCCTTCAGTTAATACCACAGTTCAGATATAGAGAAATGGATCACAGCTGTTCACTTTTCAACGCATCATACCACCCAGGTACACGTGGAGTAAAACATCACTGTGTACACACAGAAGGGCGGCTTAGTGTGTGAAGTGCTTCCTATTACTCATCTTTTACGTTAACACAACACTCATGTGGGAAGACATCTTATTTCCCAAAAGTAATTGCACCATACCATGCTCTCTATTACAGTACGGCATGTAAAATCAGTCTATGCTTGAATTCAGCACAAATGAGGCATCAAAGTCATAACTAAATATAAGTTTCCTGTCCTGAGCACACCATGACGCTTCAATCGCCAAGAAACCATCTCAACCCATCCCATAAATTCATTAAAAGCTACTGAAATGTGACTCCTGCTCTCCCGCGGAGGAGCCAATAGAGCGCTGCCTTACGAGCAACCCCCACTTCCGCTCCCCCAAGCCCGCATACACATGAATACAGCCGTGGCCTAATGAAACATCTGCTGCTTTAATGACCAATTCAGGCCCAGCACATCAGAGGAAGAGAGGGGCAACTGTATCACTACCGGAACAAAGCTTCAGTGGCTCTCACTGTGACGGGGGCCCAGGAAGTCAGCACACAGGCCCGGTCTGTGTAAGGATGGCCTCCTCCATACTAAAAGAACAGGTCTGGCAATGTCCTGCCAATATCAAGGAGTCTCAGTGATCGGTCTTGAAGCAGCGCCAGAGACTGAGCATAGCAAGTCCTGTGAGCAGCACTGGCTCTCTGTTTTCTACTTCAAGGAGACATGAAACCTGTCCAGGAAATCGGCTGAAGTAATACTAGTCTAGGACACTTTAAAAGATGTAAATGCTTCAAAAAAGAGGAGTCCCAAAGAACCCGATCTGCTTCTATAAAATACAGTTTTGACAACACTCCTGTTGCACTACATGGAAATGCTGCTATAAATTTATTTTGGGGAATTGGCAGTGTTTTATCAACACCAGATCGCTACAGAACTTCCTTATTCTGAGAACTGTCGAATACCTCCTCGAAATCTCCTTCAATATTTGGTTAACAGTATTTTCCTACTTAACTGCAAAGAGAACGGAGCAGATTTTGTATGCCAGCTAATTTTACCTTTGCTAAAACCAAGGTTTAAAAATAAAATTGTAATTTTAGTTAGAATAATTAGCAGCAATACACACAATGCATATTCACATTGTAAAACACAAGACGTGGAAAGTGGATTGGGAAAAGTGTAAGGTCTTGCAATGTGTTTTAAGAACTAAACTTATTTGAATGTCCCTTTTTTAATGTTTCATGTGCAAGGTTCTAACATGAGAAAACAATGAAAAAGGTGAATTAATGTGTTCTATGTGAACGGCCCTTTAGACTGCATAAATTTAGTGCACTCAAAAATAAAATTACTTATTTAGAGAACTGCTGAATATCACCAGAAAAAGAAAATGCAAATTCTATAATATAGTGAAAATGTATTACCATATAAAAACCGAATACCCCATTAAATGGTTTGACTGACAGTTTTCTTTCCTGTGTTGATGCATTTCCTATTAAAACAGGTGGTTTGGGTACAATACATACTTTATAGAGCCCGACCGATATGGGTTTTTTGGGGGCCGATGCCGATACCAATATTAGGGAGGGGAAAAACGACCGATATCGATATATCGCCCGATATTCTTTATGTGTAGGCTATATTATAGCACAGTATAGTCAAAAGTTTGGGCACACTTCCCATTCATGTGTCCAAACTTTTGACTGGTACTGTATATAGAATACAGTATATAGCCTACATAAACAGAATATATATACAAACACATTTTTTGCAATGATCACCACATTTGAGTTATCAAACACTTATAATGATGTGACAAACGTAGGCCTATGTAGTGGAGGCAGGGTATTTAACAATTTAACAATAAGCTTTATTATTCAAAATGAGTCTGACATCAGTGCACTTAACATTAAACTCCAAAATAGCTTAAAAAACACAAATAGAACAAAATATAACTTGAATTAAGAAATTAAACAAGGTAACCGTGTAGGGCAAGCAAGCTACTGCCAAACCAACAGGGGCAAGTTTATGCAGGAAGCACAGCTTTTCCAAATGTAAACATCTAAAATGAATAAATAATAATAATGAATAATATTTTCACAAATTCTGTGTTGTGTATTTTCAAATGAACATCCAGAACATGAGGATTCGTATTTAAATAAGTCTTTTTGCAGTTTAATATTCACAGACACAGTCTATATATATGTACTGACCTGTTTTTTATTTATTCATCAAAAATAAGACAAATTCCATGAAATTCCTCGTTATACAGTAAATTCCATTTTTACGGGGGGAGGGGGGGGATCTAATACTTTATTTTTAATTATGTCACATCAATGAGTAATCATTCGCTATTTGGCTACTCAACTACAGGGGGAGGGGAATTTTCATTCTAGACCACATCTGATAGGAAAACAATATGAGCAGCACAGAAAAGGTCTTCAATGTTTTCGTCCCATTTTCCCAGAAGAGAAAGACTATTTTTAATTTCACGAGAACAAAAAAACAACCCTAATGCAAATTGCACACAGGCACTAAAGCGAAAATCAGCCCACACAACATAGGCCATACAATATTGGCAGCAAAAAGGAAAGAATCACGGTGACCTTGCTGCACACAGCAACTGCTTTGACCTATTCCTCCAACATTTGACATGCGCAGGCCATGCTGATCCATGACTGGCCACATGACACCCATGCAATGAATACTAATCCGGCATAAGAAACACCAAGAGCAAGTTCCGCACAGCTGTAAAGGACAGGTTACCCTGATATGACTCAATCCAAACAAAAGACGAGCATGGCAAGTGCCAGCATGTCTCATGTCTTTAAGGATCCATTTTGGAAGCATCAAGGAAGGGTTTGTGGTTGCAGAGAGAATCCAGCAGCGAAGAAAACGCAGGTGTTAAGATTTTGCATGCTAAAACACTACAAGAATTAAGAGGGAGAATTAGGGGGGAAATGTACACGTATCTTGAATTACTCCATAGAAGTCAGGCCTGCAGGGCGAACTGAAAAAGGTGGATGTTATATAAGCCAGCGCTTGTGAGAACGGGCTTCTCCTCACAGGTAAACCAGCCGGTTCTGCCACTTCAAGTCAACTGCTTCCTATACATAATGCTACAGAAATCTCTCAACATCTAATGTATTCAATATTCTAGCTATAAATCAGTAAGAAAAGACGTGACAAATGGTAAACTCCACTTTGGTGGCTAAATAAAGGCAGATGATCGGCTCTTGCTGTGCTGTCCTCCAGAGACTCTGTTTGTCTAATTACAGGAAGCAAAACATTAAAGATGAAGATGCATGCAGAAATTGATCACAGAAACAACAGACAACGGACCCCCTCATTCACGGGTGTGTCCAGCAAGAGATCAGAGGAGGAACTGTGAGAAATGTCCGTGTTATGGGGATAAAACCGTTCTGGTCATACTGCCCACAATCTTTGTAGTGTCGACAAAAACTCGTCAAACCACAAATCCGTCTTTGCCAAAATTTAAGCAACGGATTTTTGACTACACAGTAATCTCACAGACAAACCTTTGGACAAACTAATCTAAGAACACCATAAATGTAAACTGAGCAGAAAGTGTTTGGTGAATATCTCAAGAACGGTTTGAATAAACCAAAGTTAAGTCGTGGTAAAATATTTATATAAGATACGATAGCTAGACGAAATACACTTACGTTACAGCTTATATACCAAATGGACCAAGATTACAGAGGTGAATAGAAAATCTGAGTTTACAACTCCATTTAAATATACGTTATCCGTTACACAAACACAAATAATCCTAACGAGGCTTGTTAACAGCAGTTTAACCAAACAAGGCCGGTTACAAATGTATTAAAGTACGTTATCGAACTAACTTTAGCACGACCAAACTAATACAATGTACTAATATGGACCAAAATACAAAACAAACCGCTTTGTTTTGCGCTTAACTGTCCTTGTATATTTTTAAATGTATAAAACAACATTAACGTTTTTAGTCCGTTTCCATCTAAGGTTTAATTGCTAACTAGCAAGCTACAGAAACACGACGAAAGTTTCGTTAACTACGAGAACTTTTTAAAAACGAAACTAATTTATGTTACTAATATAATGTTGTTGAAAATGTTGTAAGACTCAGCGCATCCAGACTGTGGTGGTTTGAGGTTTTATTTTTAGGGACACCGACTCTTTAAAAGCTATAAAGTGAGTTTAAGTATTAACGTTAGCCGTTTAGGCTAGCTAACTGTGGCTATGCTCCGACTAACTTGCTAATTTAATAAAATATCGCTCTAGTTCCTTTCAGACCGCAGAGGAAATCGAGCTTTATCATAGCCTTTCACTTTAAATAAAGTGTTTAAGCAAAAACAACCAGATTTAGTTAAAGCTCAAGCCGAAATGTGTGTGGTGCTCGGTGGCGATATCGCCACACTGAGAGAAGCGACTAGAAAACAAAACCAGTAACTTACCAAACCTCCTGTGCCGATGATGACCGGGGGTAACACCCGGCATAAGTACAAACTACTCGTGTGAGAGATATAGAAACTTTCTTTTCTAAGACACGGTCGAGGTGTGTGTTGATGTGAGCGTTAGTGTTAGTGTGCTGGGCTTGTGTGTGTGTGACACCCACCGCGTTCAACATGGCGCTCTGACTGCACATTCATCCTCCTCTGAGGGGCGAGACAAGCCAAAGGGTGTGACCAAACTCACTGGGCTTCATTCTTAAAACTCTTTATTTCCGAAATATCACCGCTGCGAGCCTCTTTACGGCCGTGGACGTCAACCAAGACACCTATTAAGCGGTGTTCTACTGAAATGAGTGTACACTTTCCGTCATCGTGAGATAAGTGTGCTCTGAATTACCGAAACCGATAACTCGGCGGAATGTGGCCCCCAAGTGGGCTTATATTGGAGACATCTGACTGTGGCCCCGAGGTGGAATGTTTCTAGGAAATAAACTTCACGTTCTCATCGTGTTTAAAATAGCTCTGTCTCAGAAGACGATGTGGACGATTCATAACAGTAAAATATTACACAATAACATTCCCCTTTGTTATGCAAAAATGTAAAATAGCCTAATTTCCACCAAAACACCACGGTTATGGTTAATAAGGTAAAGCAATAAAAAAAAAAGCAAAAATAAGCAATAATAGAATTTAAACAGTCGTAGGATACCAGAATTTTAGGATTATCAGACTTTTATTTTATTTTATTACATTACATTACATTACATTACATTACAGTAATGGCAACTACCATGCTACCACAGTTTAACTGTTGTAAACTGTACTAAGTGGTATTTTAGGAAAAAAATTGATATGGTTACTATGTTTTTGAGATTAAAAAAAACACAAAACAGACAGATGATGTGGAAGTTGTCATTAATATAAATGTAGGTGATATATTTTAAACTGTTCTTTTGGTGAAAGAAATAACAGTAAGTAAGCGAGTGAGTGAGTAAATAAATAATAATAATGAAATATAATTAATATCAAACGGTTTAAATTAATCAAATTTAGATGGTTCTTTGAATAGACAGACTTATACACATAGACTTTGTTTTGTCCGTCAAACCAGACGATTACCAAATACAGACAAAAGACACTTAAGGTTTATGAACTTACTTGAACCCAGATGTAACAGTAAAAACATTAGAATGAACATAATTTGATGCTTTTTAGTAACTATGATGCCATTTTACTACTTACAAACATAATATATGTGTTAAAATGTGAATCTTCTATTCGACTGTTGGAAATAAAAACCAGTGGACACAGTTCAACTCTTTAAAGAAGAATTTTTAGTGAAATGTGACGCATACATTGACATGGTCGGCTAGACTAGATTTAGTAGTATTGACACGAGTTCACCAGTAAGGGGCAGCATGGTGAAGATTTTCCTTCTCATGGTACTGAAATAGACGTGTGTAATGATGATAAATCCTCTTTGGGGGAAGTGAAGTGAAACAACTTCTAAATCTGTGTACAATCATTCTAACTTTTACTCCATCTTATTACATCTCAGTATTGTCATCTCATTAATTACAATATGTGGTAAACAATAATGTTGTTCTCCTCTAAAAGTGTTCAAACCCTGTCTTTGACCTTAAAAGAGCCGTGTGGTCCCTTTCATGATGCATGCATTTATTTCTGCATACAGTCTGCATGTGACATCCCACAGTGACGCAAAACAGTAGTTTTCATTTAGCAATGTAGAAATGTTTCCCAATCTGCATAGTTTCCTTCACATGACTTCTAGACATAATATGGCATTCCTCTTGTTTCTTTTGTCAAGTCAGTGTAATTTTCATTATCTAATGGTACTATCCACAAGATTTGAATAATAATGAGCAATGAAACTCAGATTTACAGTCCAACATGAATATTTGTATTATAATAGCCTTTAAATGTGGATCATAATATATGCTAGATGTAAGGCATGGCTTATTCTGTAAGAGATGCAATGACTACAAATAATTGAGTCATCCTTAAATGATGATTCACACAAAAATGAAAATTCTGTCATCATTTACTCCCCTCTCATGTTGTTCTAAACCTGTATGATTATGAACAGTTTTGGTTGTATTGTATATATCCTATTTTATTTTCCACAGAAAAAAAGCATGTAATGCAGGTTTGAAACAACAATGAGGCAGAGTAAATTATGACAGAATTTTTTTATGTTGGTTTATCCTTTTTATTTTATCCTAAACTATTTGTTTAGGAGAAAGTTTCACCCCAGTCTTTATTCTTTTTTTTTTTTGGCAAAGAATGGCGTGCATAACGTCTTTGTAAATTAGAATGTAAATGGTGTGGTTATTAGCAATACTAGCAAGTATGAAATGGTTGCAGTGCATCTATATATTTCAACCTCTGTCACCGAGACACCCCTCTGTTTGTGGTTTCCTTGTTTCATGCTCAGGAAGCCCTTTTTCTGCCCCCCATAATGTTTATATCGTTGCGTGTGTTTCTCCAGATATATATATATATATATATATATATATATATATATAGTGTTGTTTTAGCATTATTTAAATACTTTTGTAGTATTTATTACAATTTTGAATTAGCTTATACTTTTCATATTTTCATATTTTGTCATTTTTATTTATTTATTTTTCTATTTAGCCTTTATTTTTATTTTGAGCAATTTTAGTACTTCGACTTCAACTTATTTTATTTCAGTTAGTTGCCATGGCAACATTTATAATTAAGTTTTATTATAAGCAATATTTGTTTTATTTTATTTTATCCGCTTTTTTCAATTACTTTTTAATAGTTGTTTTATTATTTACTTCACTATAAACATTTAATGTTTTTATTTTGTTATTAAATAAATAATACAGTAATTACATCCAGTAAATAAAACAGTTTTTCATCTAATATTTATATCATATTTACTTCCTCCATTATTTCCATTAATGAAAACAATTTTTAATAGTTTTAGATTTAACATCAACACTGGATATATATCTATTAATATAAGGTCAAAGGTCACTCCTTGAATGATTAAAAATGTCTTTTAAAGACCTGATTGCCATATTATACGTCAGCATCAGGGTTTTAAATAAAAAACAATTTTATATTGATTCATTCATACTGAATGAATGAATGAATGAATGAATGAGCAAAGGTCACAGTCTGTCATTCAGTATTGATGATGTTGCTTAATTAGATGTTTACTATTTATTTTCTTAAATACATATATAATTTATATAATTTTTTGTTCATTATTTACTTAAATTTTTTTTAAATAAATAAATAAAGGGCACAGATTGTCATTCAGTATCGATGATGTTTATTATTTATTTTCTTAAATATATAATTTCTGTCATTTTTTTGTTCATAATTTACTTCAAAATAAATAAATAAATAAATAAATAAAGGGCACAGATTGTCATTCAGTATCGATGATGTTTATTATTTATTTTCTTAAATATATAATTTCTGTCATTTTTTTGTTCATAATTTACTTCAAAATAAATAAATAAATAAATAAATAAAGGGCACAGATTGTCATTCAGTATTGATGATGTTGCTTACTTAGATGTTTACTATTTATTTTCTTAAATACATAATTTATTAAATAATATTAATAAATATTAATATATTTTTAACCATCAATTCAACTTTAACTGATTATATATATAAAAAAAAACTTAAGCAAATTGCTCAGGCAACATTTCTCATTGTCATTTAGTTTAACTTGATGTACTAAAACAAATAAAATTAAATAAAATAAATAGAATAAAATAAAATAAAAAATAAAAACTATAGACATATTTAAAAAAAAATAATAAAATTGACAAAAGTTTTTCTCTTTTTCTCTCTCTGTATATATATATATATATATATATATATATATATATATATATATATATACAGTATAAATACAGTGTATACATATATACTTAGTATATATATATATATATATACACACACACACATACATACAGTGTGTGTGTGTGTGTGTGTGTGTGTGTGTGTATATTTATATAATGTAATTAAATAAGATCCATAAAAACACACACACACCAACACATATAGTTTCCTCTAAGTGGTGAAATTAATGCTACAATGGGCTTCCTGCAATGAAATGTTTCTTTTTACATAAGCTTGACTTTCTGTCTGCAGCTTCACACCACCAGCAGTTCCTCATGTGCAATCCTACACCTGGGTGCAAGTCACATTCACAGATTGTCTTTTGTGGTGAAAAATGTTTCCAAGTTGAAGTAACAGTTTAAGTCATGGAAAATATTGTGTTGAGTGCTGCTGACATCCTAACTAGACGTTTATGTCTGTACACATACAGTAGGTTCGTCACATTTAAATGATCATTCATGAAGCAACTTTCTTTCTTTATGGCTAAACTTCAAATGTTCTGAAAAGGAATTTGTAAACAGCTCCTCTCTGCCTTGGGGAGTGTTCATAACATAAACAGCAATAATGACTGTCTGTGTGCGTAATCAGTCCCATTACGGTCCTCTTGCATAGGCAATGCCAAGACAGACTCTTTGAATTTGATCATGATGTCTCGAGTGTGACATCTTACAGTAAAATAGTGTATTTCAAAGCTCTAAAATGAGAGCAAGAATGGGTATTCCCATTCTGCAACTACTCAACCCTAGAACATGTGAAATACAATCAGATGCATATATAAAATGAATTGTTTAGTCAATGAAAATCAATTTTAATGATAATTTAGATGTGAGAGAATGTGTGTCCGGTTGCTCAATTAATAGTAAATCACTTCGCGAAAGCATCTGCTGATTGACAGCTTGCTAGCTACTTTCTTACTAAATGTAAATATGTTCATTGATACACTCTAAAAAATGCTGGGTTGTTTCAACCCAACTTTGGGTCAAATATGGACTAACCCAACCGTTGGGTTAAATTTTTACATTAAATTTTTAACCCAAAAGTTGGGTTAGTCCATATTTGACCCAAAGTTGGGTTGAAACAACCCAGCATTTTTTAGAGTGTATGATTTTAAAGATATAGTTAACAGATGGAAAATGAAAACATATGAAAGCTAGAGGTTTCATTTTAAAAACATAAATGTGCAAAAATAAATTATTTTCACTGAGAAATATCAAAAGAAAAGACCATTTCTTGTGAAATATCTAGCCACAA